GTTTTTGAATTTCGAAAGAGCAGAGTTACGCAATAAAGCAGCACGAATTCTCAAAGCCTATTTTATACTGAAATTGATTTTTTAATAAAAGTAGTAAATATAACAAAATGTCGCCCCTGAATCAATTCATTGATATTCCCTTTTCCCTCATTCATGTTTGTTCAGTTCATGTTATGAATCCCAACTATTCAACTGTCACTGATTCCGACTTATATTGATCTAAATCGCAAAGTTATTTTGTAATTCAAAGTTCCTTATTGATTATTTGGCATACGATTTCACTAAGGAGTGCTTTTGTATTGCCTTTCCCGAGTTTAGAAGTGAAAAGGTATCGACCGTTGAAAAGGGTCACTACAGTCGCCAATCGAGCAGTTCCAAAAATTCAGGCAAATCAGTACCAGGACGCCGTCAAAACAAAGGAAGCTTTTCTTTGATATATGACGACACAGGTGAGTGGTCTGTGTGCCGATCACATTGCCGTGCAAGATATTTTGAAGGTGCACTCGGAAATGATAGATCCTCATTATTTCCACAAGTGTGGTTTAGTACTCCACTTCGATATGCTTACTAATTTGTCTAATAGTTTAATGCATTGTCATAGATGTGGTTATTGGTGAATCATTGTAATTCTTGTAAATGCGACGTCTTATTTTCGGATTATTCCTACTTAGACAACCGCTAGAGCAGGGCTTCTAACTTTTATCTACCACGGATACGAGAATAATTTCACCTTTTGCATTGCAGCCTAAAATAAGTGCCGTAATTTTTTGATTTTTTTTAAGTTGCAAGATGATGGTGTTTTGATGTTTTTTTACCGTTATACATGACAAGTACATTTTTCTTGCCTCAGTATTGAAAATATCGTTTACGTTATATCTTTGCTACATATAAGCTATTTTAATCCCAAACTAGCCGCTGGTACCTTATGTACATTCAATCTAATTTTCGCCTTTCAGCAGTTGAACCCTCGTTTAAATGCATCGAAGTCGATTTAGACTAGAATAGCCACAAAGGTCATAGTTTTTCTGTCACCTACGCTCTACTACTGGAATGCCTTTGGGTTGTATCTCGTATTCTCGAGGAACCATTGTACCATTTTTCAGGCGCATCAGTTGCGTAAGAAAATTTTTACTGAAACGCACGCACAGCCAATATATCTTTTTACTAATTTTTTATTTGATGGTGTTTTTTCGATATTTGTTAAAGGGCTGAAAGATTTGTCCCACAGAGCTCTGTGTGGATCTTAGTTCGTCCCCTTTTGTGAAACCTTTATAGTTTCCGATTGAATGTTTGTTCCGAATCGCAGAATTAAGCACGCGCCAACTTACTGAATCAATAACTGTCCTTTGTTGGTAACAAGCTGATGGCAACTATCAGCGACCACCAAGCGGATTAGGCGCCACCACTGAGGTGCGACGTTTTAGGGATCAACATTGATCGCAAAAAGTCATTACCTGAGAAGTGGGATCATTTTAGAGATTACTACTTTCGGAAATGCTACATTTTAGATGCGATTTTGGAAATATTCAAAACCCTTCTTCACTCTCGGGGTGTTATTGGATAGAGCAAAGAATTGATATTTATAAATGTAGCTTTTGATAGGGCTCTTGTAATATGACCCTCCTTTTAGAAATGTATTTCACAATTGCACTATCACACTTGCATATTGAGCGGCATGAGCAGAGAATGTTTATTCCAAAATTTATCTCACATTTCAATTCTCCTAACTCTCTTGCAGCACTGTCTAAATTGACCTGATCTTGATTGTCATAAGAAAATGTTTGACCATTCAAAAGTAATAAATTAAAATTAGAATGTAGTTGAAAGAGAAGAAAACAAAGTTGATTATCTCCAATAAATGACTGCCGTTTCAAGAAGTAAGCATATTCTGCTCAGTTCTACCAATGAACGATAAGTGTTTATGTTGAATACTTGGAAACGTTATGTGGCTACAAGCGGCTCAGTTAAAATCCCTCTTCATCAAAGAAGTCAGAGGTATTACAAGAAGGGTGATAGGTTACCGTTTAGAAGTTAACCTCGTGGTGTGCGTCTTGTTGAATAAGCGTTTTGTAGCATGAACATGCCAAACAAGATGAAAAATCTAAGAGTTTCCGGTATGCAAGGAAACATGTTAGGCAGTGTATCAAATTGAAATTTTTTATTATGGGAAAAAATTACTAAGACTTCGCTTATCAAATCCCATAGGGTGTTTACATTTTGGTTCGGAACACGATTCACAAGATCAAGGTTAGTCCATGTACGTAAACGCGTAATGGTATGTTTTTGACGAGCACAGGAGAATATTTTATATAGTTGGGTGTTGAAACATAATGTTTGCCAGAGCATCATCAAGCTGATGCTTGAAAGATGCTAATGTTGGCTCACAGACCACGTGAGGTGGTAGAGAGTTCCATGTGTTGCACACTCTGACTGCAAATGAGTGGCGTCTGGAGTCGAGACGGCTCTTTTGGAGTGCAAATTCGGTTGATGCCCTCTGAGGTGAACATTGGTTGATAAAACTAAAAGGGATCTACATGGATGGTTGGGCTGTTGGAAAATCCGATACAGTAAGATCATATCGCCTCTGATTTGACGATATTGAGACGAGTATAGCCCCAGTAGCTGCAATTTCTCGCCATAGGTTTTGGAATGTAGACCTTTGACCATCTTGGTAGCCATTCTCTGTGGATGTTCAAGTGTCTTCTGATCTCTCTGCAGCCATGGGTTCCAGGCCTGAAATGAGTACTCGGTGTATGGATGGATATATGTGGCTAACAGACATGGAAACAAATTCGGCTCAAACGATCCAAAAACACGTTTGAGCAGTCCAAGCTGTTTTACCACCATGGATGATGCCGTGGAACAGTTTGTGAAGCAACTCAAGTCTGCGCAGATGACTACTTCTAGATCCTTCTCGGATGCAGCATGTGGCAGAGTTTCGTGTCCGAGAGTGTAGGAATAACGACCATTGTGACTTAATGATAAACTTTACATTTCGCAACGGTGAACTCCATATAATTAGAGACAGACCATTTGTGGGCTTCGTCTAGGGCGTTCTGGAGATCAAATGAATCTTCGGGTTTTGTTATTGTCTTCCATATTTTGGCATCGTCCGCAAATAGCGGAGTTTGTGGTCTGGGGACGTCTGGAAGACCATTTATAAAGGCAAAGAAAAGACGTGGGCCTAGTACAGATCCCTGTCGAACCCCACGGTTGACATCTATTGGATCAGAAAGTGAATCGGAAACACGAACTTACATGGTACGTAGGCGAAGAAACTCCTCGATCCAGCCAAGTAAGAGTCCACGGATTCCATAATTATATAGCTTCCGTATCAGTATTTGATACTGTACTCTATCAAATGCTTTAGAGAAGTCCAGGTAAATAACATCTACCCCTTTGCCTTAGTCTACAGCATACGTCCAATCGTCCCGAGCCAAAATCATATTAGTTGCACATGAACGATTTTTCGAAACCTGTGCTGGGCTGGGGATAGTAAATCATTTTTCTCCAGATGATCCATTACCGAATCTGCAACAACAGATTCCATGACTTTGGATAACACCGGAAGGAGAGTGACAGGAATTCGATGTATAGATCTACTATATCAGTCCCGGATGTGTTCACATGCGTTTAGCAGGCATGCGGCTAGAGAAGGCAATTGTACCGGTGGATACTTTTAAAGAAATAATGAGTGTGATTTGGCGTATTGATGTGCATGAAACTCAAAACATAGGATTTTGAGAGGGAGATTTGCTAACAGACGATTTCTGTCAATATCTACATATAGATATATATCTGTATACACGTGGGGGTTAGAGAGACAGAGCATAAATTATTCAGCTTAGTATAGCACCAAAAATTTTAGTAATTCGCATCATTCGGTTGGTGAAGGCTACTTTGAATGCAGTTAACCAACCTTACGCCGAGATGCTTGTCAATCCAGCACCGTTTTGCCCTCATTCCTGGACAAAAAGCACGTGCAAATCACCTTGCACTCGGTTCTGATACCGTCTCGGCCAATTTTTCCCGTATAAAAATGAGTTGCTGAAGTAAACACAAACTAAAATTAGACACTCCCGACACCCACTTTTGTTGGAGGACCTCCGGTAGGTTGATTGTTCCCGAAGCATAAACGTTGTTTTTGTTACTATGATAAATCAATACGGACCCAAAGACTAAACATGATCATTTCTAATTGGCCGTATCTCGCCTACAAAACCTCTAACATCTGGAATAAAAAACAACGAATCTAGGCAAATTACTCACACATATCAAGCCCACTCTAAGGAATTCTTACCTTGAAAACCCCAATAACTCATAAATTTCACAGGCACTTTTATGATATAACGTGTGAACATTTTACCCTGAATACTTTTTTTCTGCTTATATTTTACAATGTGTCAAAAGCTTTTTCCTGGAAACGTAATCAATAGATTATCTTCATGTCCGCAGGTTGAACACACACAGGTTGAACATAATGTGGTTTGAGGATAGCCATGTGTAGATGAAAACACAAGCCTGACAGCAGTTAGTTCTTTAGTTTTATATGGATTGCCTTCGGTTAACAGCCAGCAGATTACTGAAAACCAATATAGCATAAAGTTTGGATTCCGTGCGCACAGATTTGGTTGTGTCCACCTCTCTTTGGCATTAGCAATTGTGATGGGCCTCAGCCTGAAGAGAATAAACGGTGCAACACCTGAAAAACAAAATAATCAGATATCAAATTGATTGATTATCGTTGTAACCCCGATGGTTAATATCGCATCAGATGCACTGATGCTCCAAGCTGAGTTTAGATTTCCATTGACCTAGAGGACATGCAATGCGGTTAAGCGGTGTGGATAACTAACGGGTTGCAGATGATAATGCTTGGATTTCCTGAACGACAATAATAAATTTGCGGGACTGAACACTTTAGTGTACATAGAAAAATAGGTAAACAATTTTGCATGTATTGCGGTGAAGAAATCAATTTTGAATTCCCTGTTTACTAGTGGCACAATGACGCTGCATCTGCAGTGAATTCCGATGAGGAACTGCGTTGCAGTGATGAAAAAGCTGCATCGGACAGGTGTTCCTCTCACGTCGGTTTGTAGTGACCCCGGAATTCAGACTGTAAACCATCCAGATCAAACTCAACCAATTTGTCTCTCATCCACTCGCGTCTGAGGTTTACAATTGTGGTTTAATAATGCGCAGATTTATTCATCCTTGTCGCTCCAATTTGTGAAATTTTGCATACATTGATTTGGAACGCATAACCTCAAATATTTGTGGGGCTCATTCTACTGAAGGTTGTTTACCTCCAAAATTATCCAGGGATGAATTTTATACATTTGGTTGAATTACATCTGGGTATCCTTGGGGGACTTCACATGTTGTAACGCAATGCAAATTTTCAGTAATTTATACAAACCGAAAACAGGATTTAGCGTTCAGTCTGTGGCATAAATTTCCATCTGACTACACGATTCACGCATAATAATATTTTGCGAACAAATTTCTTGTTGAAATAGTTAAACAATGCAAAATAGGTTTTTGTTTAATTTAAGCCTACACTTGCTTCCAAATCAACAGTAAAGTAGGAATTTAGGATCTAACTACAATGTTCAGTTCACAACAGCAATGTGGCTGGAAAACTTTGGAAAAACGAATAGATTTTAGGACATTTGTACCATCATCAGACAAAAGTGCTCCACTTAAAGTATGCGCGCATAGAAAATCTTTAATTGCGGTGCAAAAACGGTGGACGTGGTTAGGTGTACTGCTAGTTTGAACCAGCTATTCAGCCCCTACATCTGTGCAACCCTAACTTGCCTTTTTTTCGATGACATTTGATAAAGAGCGCAGTTTTGTAAGATTTTCATTGTGAAATGCAAAAAGGAGGTAAAGATTTTTTGCTGAAGTGTGTCCTAATCGGGTGTCTTCAGTGCACTGCATATTGATTGAGAGGCATTTTATGACTAATTGGAACAGAGTTCTTCTGTGCCAGGTATAATAGGATTCCGGTGAATTCCGAGGCCCACAAATGACTGCTAACAAAGTTATAGCGCGCTAGGCTTTTGCTCAAAACCGATTTATTCTCGACATGTACTCAGAACACGTTTTGATTTACTAGTACAGAGGTTTGGGTCTGAATTTATCAACATTTTGATAAGGGTGAGTGAAACATATGCATGCAGCACAGAGTGCAACTACTCACCGTTTATTCAGTCCTTACCGAGGAGGATCAGGCAACAACTAGTGTTTCCGATGTGGTATGATTACAGAAAGAAAATTTAATCAACTATCTATATGCGGGTAGGCGGACACGAAAACGACTGAGTGAAAAGAAGATTGCTTGACACTATTTTGCTTATATGGCTTTCGTGGTCAAAAGGCTGAATAGCTTCCGTTCTCTTATCCTCATTCTGTTTTGATTTTTCAAATCTAAACAATGTAGCATGTGCCCGTCGATTGGCCTGGCGCATATGTTTGGTCACTGAGTGATGTACTTTTAAGTGTGGTATGTTTACCAACCTCCACCCCATTTATTATCTAATTCCTCCTGTCACGTGTCGCACATTGTTTCATTACGTAATCCCTACAGCCTCCAAACGAACTTTAGGGATTGTTGTTGAATGCAGCGATGCGTGATCACTACCGCTTCCTCGCAAGACGGAAGCAACTGTGCTGAGTGCTGTGATGGAATAACGTGGATAGTAGTCAGTGTAGCGTATCAAGAGTTCATGGTTGTCGAAGCTCCACGACAGTTGGATGGTGTAAACTCTCTGCTGTTGATCACCCCCAAACAAATATTATGATTTTTAAAACATTTTTATTAACACATATTGAGTTACGTTAGATCACTTGACAGTAACTTGTTGAACCAGTGAGAAATTTCTCAATGCTAAGCGAAGTATTGAATAGATCTGATGTACAACGAGTGCGTTACACGTGAGCCTCGCATCATCATTCAGACTTATCTTTCCGGTGTTTCTTTAGGACAATAAACATTACTGAAAAGGAGTTCGTCCTTTATTAGAAATTGAATCCAATAAAACAGCACAGCAAACAGGGTTTAACGGTCACCAAAGAAACTGGAGCTGTGTTCTTCTCAGTCCATCAATAGCTGAAAATAAAAATCACAACCAAGCAAGAACCGATACATTACAAAATTATGTTGAACAAATATTGTTATTCATCAAACGCACCATTTACTGAAGCAACAGTCTACTAGAGAAACACAATATTAAATGTATACAGGTTTACGGGAATCTACACATTACTTGAGATATAAAAGCGTCAATGTACAGGCATTTTTGAAGAAACTATTGTTTGAAGAAAGGTTTTCAGTTCCCGTTATGGAAAATATTTCTTCAACAAGCAACAAGCCATATGGGACTTGCGGCAATTTGTGTGTGTGTGGGGGGTGGGTGGTATCAATGGAGGGGAAGAGTTGAATTACTCAAAACTGGTTGAAAACATTGGTAATTCAATCAAAATAGGTCAAACTATACGCCAATATATAGGAAATCATATAACCAACAATTGTAGTCTTTCATTAATGTCAAGTAAAATACAGTGGTGATTCAGCACAATTCTTGATTGATCTTCGTTTTGCAGGTTGAAAATCAGGCTATTACTAAACGCAATCCTTTTTATCACACAGGTCGGTATAATGCAAACGTGTTTATCGTCTGTTGGTTCATACTCAATACTTCCCTGGGTAAAAGGGTTACATGATGCCCAAACAGATATCACATCACAGTCCGGTTCTTTGTTCGACACGGCTAAAATAATGCAAGTAACGCCATTATTCTCCATTTGAACCAGTTCAAATGGCTGAATGTTTGTTCTCATAATGACTACATTTGTGTGAATTTACAGAGAAAAGAACAACAATTTCAAAAATATATGAACAGCTGCTGTAGTCAATCACTCATAGTGGGTGGATCCATTTCTTTTCGTGTAATACAAAGTCCTGGGGTTGGTTCCATATTCCTCCTAATTGATAACATTAATTGGTATTTTTTCATTCATCAGTTAATAGAGCGCGCCCGTATTACAGTGAAAAGATAGTAATCAGGCTCCTTGTGTTTTTAAAACTCATAAATGATACGCGTGCTAGAAACGCGCGTGCAAATCGCCCGTGAAAGCAATTTGAATAGGGGAACTATCGGATCGTTTCAAACTGTTCTAGACAGTTCGCTTTTCTATATGTCTAAGAAAAGGATGCTTGGCTTGGAAAACACTTCTGTGAAGCACATGGCTGGTTATACGATCCATGCAACCTATCAAGTAAGTATATTCGGTACTCGTCTGTCGGGTCAATCTGATACGTGTACTGTCAATGTAAAATAGCCAGGATGATGCTAACTGGAATGTAGCGGAATTGTTTTGAGGCAAACCAATGGTATAGAATCATCGTGATAGCGCTTTTGAGGTTACGCACTATCAACTTTATATAACCTTTCACCGGGTCCTACCGGTTCAGATAGTTCTAAACCAGGCAAGGCCTTTAAAATTGGCCGTGTCAGTTTTTGTTAAAGCTATAGCTTTGGTTGTTTCATCACACAAAATCTAGATATACTTTTATATCAGTTACGGTGACATCAATGATAACCTACAACGCACTCAGTTTAATTTCCATACGAGTGTCAGTGGAAAATATCAAGGAACCGTCCTTACGTGCCTTTTCTCGTTTGGTGAGAAACAAGGTCATAATGATCACCAAACATCCAAATGAAAAATGGAAGACGATCGCGCTGGCTGAAAAGTAGCAGTTGGGCACCGTAACCTGAAGAGTTTTGGTTTTCCGATCATTTTGTCGTCAAATGTCTGCTCAATTCTTTCTAAGCTATCGGACATCGGTCTTCTGATTCACTACGGTGAGTACTCCAAAATTTGTGCGCTATTTTTCCAAGAATCTTGGTTACAAGAATCCGCCGCGGACGCATTGGTTCAGATCCAAGGCTACCAATTAGTTCGAGCTGAGAGACCTATAGAAAGAAAAACTAAAGGTGGAGGCGTCAAAAATACTTATATGGGTTCCTCGTGATTTAACTCCACCAAATGCATATTTACTCACTGCACACTGAATGTTTCTTGTATTTCTGCAGAGAGTAAACCACACTTTCTCCCGCGTCACTCGTCGATCATCTCTCCTAACCTATACACCACTCTTGACTGTACTCCTAGTGAGTTGTCTACGTTCCTGGATGTATTCCATCCAATCATGTTGGAGAAATCTGTCACATCTGCATTCATCGTTGCCGGCGATTTCAAGAGATCTGATGTCACTTTTTACACACTAATGTCCCTTCAGAACATTATTACTTTATCCACTCGAAACGATGCCTCCCTGGACCACCTGTCCATAACGAACCACTTTTTTTCCGTGTGTTCAAACGTGCAACAGAAGGCAATTTCGATTACAGTTTGACTAAAGTTTTACCTACAATATATGGTAAACGCAAGCAACAAATCCTGATGAAGAACGATTCACGTAAGCTACGTTTACGACAAAATCATCTCACCAATTCGATGAAGTTAAAATCCATGGTTGGCGGTACGGACTTACAACAACTCGTCGTTCCTGATATTTCAGTCTTCTGTGAGAACCTTACCAATTACCTCAACTATTGTTATGATGTGTGCTTCCCTCAAGAAAGGATTCACCTACAGCCCAACCGCTTCATCTCCGATAGAGTGAAATAGTTACGAAGGCTGAAAGAAAGGGCGCATCGCTCGAGAGATAAACTGACGGTCAAAGCTGTCAACTTTCACATCAGAAGCGAGATAGCCCATCTCAACCAATTGTATGCTGGCATCGTGCTAGGAGACAAATCCTGCCGTCAGACTGAAGTTGCTCTGTGGTCGTTCGACTTTACCCACTACAGTCTCATGTGATATCAATGAGCTCAACAAATCTTTTACCTCAGTTAAAAGCATTGTGCAACCTTTACCGAGTCCAAATACAACGTCACTTGATTTCCGTCTTCCTGTGTCTGTCACAACAGAGCAAGTGTTAAAGGAGTTAAATGCTGTCAATGAAAATGAATCCGCTAGTCCTGATGGGTTATCCCCAGTGATCTTTAAAACATGTGCAAACCTTCTCGCACAAAGCGTTTCATTCGTCTTTAATCCATGTATGTCAGAAGGAAGACTAGTCAACACATGGCGTAATGTTCGCATCACTCCAGTACCTAAGAAAGAAAAGGGTGAGTTTCGGCCTATTGCTTCATCTTCAGTATTACTCAAGACTTTTGAGCATATTCTTATTCACCACCTATCCTCTAATCTTGATTTTCGTGATTCCAATCAGTTTGCTTATTGTAAGCGTTGCTCTACTTTAGATGCGGTTGCTTATCTTATGCATTCTGTTTTATCCACTATAGACCAAATCACAAAATTGTTCACTTTTGTTTCTTGAAGTACACTAACGCGTTTAACTCTATCTAGCTCTAGTTCAACTTCTGTAACCCTTCAATATTTATAACCTTTATATACTCCTACTGCTTCTTCTCACAACTCTGTTGTACTCTACTTTTCACGTTTGTTAGTTTCTAGGGAGGGAATAACAAACGAACTTATACACAGTGTAATGTAAATTTTCACTCTGAAAGTTTTCTTTATTTTTTTACACCTCCGGATGTTCTATTCATTGTCATCGCAGTAACTATTTTTCATATCTTAAAGCTCCTTTATCATAGCGTGCAATACCAAAGCAAAGCAATGACATTTTCTATCATTGAAAATTCTGTCCACATTGGATGAATAAAGTGCACTCTTGACTTGATTTGACTTGACTTGTCTATGGTGGCTGTGTACTTACGAGTATCAACTTATGAGGATTGCTTGTAGTGACCAATAGAAGGCGATTCAATAAAGTACCATCAAAAGCTGGCTCCAGTGTCGAGTCTGCTTACACTGAACGTAACTTAATCAGAACGCTTTAATTCCAACCCACAGTGATGACAATTCGATTTCGGAATAACGCCCTGAAATGCAAGGGAGTTCATTTGGGTGTTAAGTAGATGAAATGTGATTGTAAAGGTTTTTAAACGAAAGGTTTCACACCGTTGAATGATCATATTGTTCACTGTCAGGAGTGACCACTCGGACCCACACATCCCGATCGGAACTGAGTGTTGAAATTGACGATCGACTGCATCGTGAACCGCACAAGACAGCCGATGGATCAAGAAGTGCTCGCGATACAGCTACTGCCGATGAACAAAAAATGATTGGAATGAATGAGTTCACAGAACGTTCCTCAAGGAGCGTACATGCAGGATTGGAGGAAAATGAACTGCTTTCTGCTAAGATCACCTATCGGGACAAAGACAATCCCACAAACCGTTCCACCGACATTAGTGATGCATTTGAAGCCTCGCAGCCGATAAAATTTTCGTCGCTGGCAGAAAAGCAGCCTTTGAATCCACCTGACTCTTCCATTTCATCCAAGGAGACTACAGAAGATTTGAATGAAAACTCAGAAAAAGCAATGCAAAACGGTAAATATTTAACATTCTTGCTTCATTTACCAACGAATTTTTATTTTATATTCAGAAATTTTCTCTCATTATGATAGGTTATACAAAAAGTTACTCATATTAGTCCAACTAACTTGTAGAGGAACGCACGTTCTGTGAACACTATTTCTTAATGTTGTTATTGGTTGTGTGGGTTGGAGACTTTGTGACTATTGCAGTGGAATCAGGAAAAGCGAATCCCCGGTACGTTTCAAAGTATCATAAGTCAATTTAAGATATGGTGCTTATAATCAGTGCATTTGCGAAGTAGCTACCCAATTCTTTGAGCAGTTCAGTCCCGCTGCTAGCAGCAGTGGGTGCCTTCGGCGAGGTGGTAAACAATGACTTGCTAATTGATCACCCTCTATCAAACGAGTTTCAACGACAGTATGGGCCAGGCCTGGAATGAGGTCGGAAAAGTGTTTGGGAAATGACCTCAACATATCAGCAGTTTAGTTGCTGATTAACAGCCACTTGACCGATGTATTGGTTCACTGGGTTCTCATATTCTGTCCTCGTTTGATTGAGAAGTTCACATTTCGCAAAATCTAATTACTAAATGGTTAATAGTTATGCGGATGGTAGATGTTTCATTGCCATGGACGAAGTTCACTCAAACAGCTTTTTTCGGAAGTTATGGCAAATACCGTATGGTTTGAATCGTATCCTAGATTGATTGAAGAGCATAAAGTTATGCAGAGTGTGAGAAAGAAACACGCAGACCTCGTTTTCTCTGACCAAGAACAGGAGTAAAACAAACTATGTCTCAACTAGAACTCGGCTTCCAAGTGTTGACCGTTGATTCAGATGTAAGATCTTCGTCTAATAGCTTTCAGATTCCCGGTTGGTGTCCCTGTAGAGATACAAACATTGCAGACACTACAACTGAGTCTCTAAGAAGGCGAAATAACTGTCCCCGAGAACTTTATCAACCTTTGCATAAAACGTACTTTGACAGTGAATACTGAATAAACAGTATTATTTCGGAAGATGTATTATGCTCACGAGATTCAGCGTAAAAGGAAACCTGATGAAGTAATTCTTTTTCTCTATCAATAACTCGCCTTTTATTTAACAATATATTTACCTGTTCAGCAGATCACTCCACAGAGAATGACGATACGACACTAGAAGACGCGGAGGAAGAGGTGTCGGTAAACATAGAGGCTGAAGCTGAAGACAAGGAAAACGACCCTCTGACCCCCACAAGCAAATCTGATCAACTGCTGCAAAGGTCGGGTGCGGATGAGCTGATGCAACGTTACATGGAACTAAGCAAAACCACTAATCGTGTCAGTGAGGCTGCACGAATAACCGAGGAAGAGGATGGACTTAATAAAGCCGGCTCTTCTGAGGAGTACAAAGGAACCACTTTACTGACACATTTTCTCAACAATCCTGAGGTATGTGAATGCACTTGGACATTCTCTGTGTGTTTATTTGTCCATGCATGATCTGATGAGATTCCAAAACTGTGTAACTCATTTTGGAAGTCGTAGTGCAGTGGTTTTGCTATACTGTGCAATTTGATTTCTAGTGCTTTGGTAATGTTCCACACTGTATCAAATAACGAAAATCAACGGCTTAGGCCTTATGAAGCCAACCGATTTTTTCCTCCGCTTATTGACGACTTATACAAATCACGTTTAATTAAAGAACACTGCTAACCACAAAAGGTGAACATATGGTCTGCACAAGGTTTTTGGTCTTCTCATCAACAGAGCCGAATCATAAGCGTACCTTATTTTGGACACAGAAATGAACGGTGCAAGGGACTTGGTAACAAATTTAATCCATTATCGAGGAGATGACAATCTAGTTCTGTGAGACGGTTGTATGCACTCATAAGTAGTTTTCCAAAGTCGACAGAAACGTAATGAAAAATAAAAATTTCGCATGAGATTTCGCGGAATAAATCTGTTACTGTTAAGCACGTTTTCTAGAGCTTTTTGTATTATTATTACTTTGGCATAAACTCGCTCACCTATCAATGTGAAGTTCAACAATTTGGTAGTCCTGTTTGGTTACATACGGCTGAAACTCAGTCGGACAAGTGAAAGAGGAATTACATTTTTGAATATGAATAATGTGCACTTGGGAATATTATGCAGCTTAGACGTCGCTCTTGGAACAAAGAGACCATCTCACGCATAAACCAGAAGATTACGAACATCAGGAAAATACAATGGCACCACTGCGATTACTCAGTCTTTTGGGTGCATGTTCACATGTTCTCGTACGTTGACATTTTTGCGGTCAATAAAATCGATGGCGCGAAACGGCATGAATTCCCGGACAAATAATCTCTCTTATTTTGTGTGAGGCACTGGCTCACTTAGTACTTGTACTAGAATATAAAAACTGTGAATGAATGACTTTTTCAGTCATAGTGATGCCATGTTTTCTCTGCTGAATGCCTAACTGACTGACTACGTGCAGAGGTGGGTCAAAAATGTTGGTGCATTCAACATCGAATTCAAGTTGATAACCATTGTTCTGACAACATTCGTAGCTGGAAAGCATGGAGGAAACAAACCCGCCAAAATAAATCCTTATTTGAAATAGCCTGCAAAATGAGCAACATTCAATATATCGACATCCTTTTTCGTTACACTTATGTTTTGAGGATATTCTATTCAAGATTTTAATGATTTGTCAAATGTATTGCTCTGGATGCTGTCAAATTTCATAATAATACCTCTTGTGGTGCTTCAGTTCATTTCGTCCGACACCGAGAGTAATTCGTCCGCCTGTGAACAAGTCCCCGAGTTGGATGATTTAAACACCGGACGAGAAAGAAGGTGAGTTTAACCCGATTTTAACAATTAAATGACTGCTTTTTGTTTAAATGATGACACCTACCAATGGATGGTTGTTTCAATAAACGGTTGATACCGAAGTAACGAGATAGATAAGCGATCACTCAGCCGCATTGAAGCGTTTTCAGAACTGACTGATTTTCAAAGATTTTTAGGGATCACTGTGATTATTCTCACCCAGTGGTTGTTCTCTTTTCTATTTTGTTGAATAAAAATCACAATTAGAATATGGAGAAACGTACATCATATATCACTAATTTTGCCCGCAAATTTGATTACCATATCGATTCTTTTTGTCATTTGTTTTCTTGACAGCCTTTTATTGCACTCGATCAACATGTGTACCACCAAATTGTGCACATTCTCTTTTTGTGGTGATACATTGGAGAACACATTGATTTTGTATTCGGTGATGTAAATTTGGTCATGCTCAGGGATAAGTCTTATGCACAACATTTTTGGAAAGTTGTTATGTTTCCAGGGGAGAAGCTTACAATGCATTGAGATATTTCTTTATTGCGTGAAAATTCAGTGTTTGATTGAACGTGTTTCCACTATTGATTTATCTACACATCTCTTTAATCATTCACTTTTACAGGCAATAGAAATTACATGTAGTTGAGGATTCCTATATTCCCGGTTGTTGACGATCAATATCGATACGAAAGCATTAAATTTCCTACGCTGTGCTAATTTGCATTTGAATGTGTGCTAACTGTCATGATTACGTTTATGTGGCTCTTGACAAATCAACTTACAATAGTGTTGCACTGTGTAGCCAGGGTAACGTGTTTGGTTCAGACTCGATACTCAATCGCGGATGGCACAAAAACGACTTCACACCGTATTCTGTTGTCATATAATTGTGCAGTGCGGTAGTCAATATGGCAGGTTGCTTTCCATTGAACCTGTTAATACCAGCAAGGTCTAACTGGGGAACACGAAGTGAGAAACCTTAAACGTACTTGCCTCGGAAAATTAGCATTCTCTCCTTTAGTCACCTATAAACGGGGTGGTGCCAAACAATTTGAGGACGGAATGCGTTCCATTATTTTGCCATATCCATTCAAATGTTTTCCACTTAAGATAACCCTACGAGCTTGTAAAAGGAAATGCTACTCCGTGAATAATATACAGATATTAGTCTATGAATGTTCTTGTTGTTGCCAATGTGAATCTACAAGCGTAAAAGTTTCGCTATGGCTCCAATTTTGTGAGTATCAACTTTTGATTTTGTGGTCGATGATTCTTCAATTGCTTCAAACATTATGTTGGTGATGCAGTTGTGTATACCGACCAAAAAAGAGCACCTATGGGTCTTTTCGTTTTGGTGGGGATCAGTCACAGTGTCGAACGTTTTTCCTGTTCATGGCACAACTGGACACGAGAAATGTCCTGCTGTGAATGAGGTTTCCACCCCCTCCCTCAAAATATTGGCTGTAGACCGTATTCCTCAGGGGATAATATTCTGAAGATTGACCAGACGAGTTACAACAGAGACATGAACCCAGTTAGTNGAGCCTCAACAACGGTGATCCGGCGAAGTATGTCTCCTAATATCTTCACTTGTTCAACGGATTGATATCAAAGCAAGTTTTGTTCACTGAATTTGATTTTAGCAAAGGTGATACAAAATACCGGCGGTGATTTGCGTGGTTATAATGTTTCTAAATGATTCCGTAAATTGCTGCGTGTGATGTTTTGGAAACAAACTCCAAGAGTTGTACAGGTTTAGCTGTGTACGAGAGGCTGCATTTATTTCAAAAATGGTGTTTAATAATAGTATGGTTAAGCCTGCAAATGTTATTCTTGCTCACAATTTTCCTAAATAAAGTATTATGAGACAAATGTATCATTTACTGATCGTGGCTGTGTATACGAACTAGACAGGTTGCAAGGCACAAGTTCAGTCGGGTTCCTTGATCAGTATATGTGAGTATCTCGTGATTAATTGCTTTTTATCAATTTACTGTAATCTCTAACTTTGCTTCTCTCCGTTTCAGCGATCCATCCGAACTGGCTTGGTGAAAGACTCCATATTGGTCATCGCAAGTCGGGTCTTACTAGGGCACGCTGACGACTTCAACCACAACTCACAACACGTTGCGATGATTCTATATGTATTTTTTGGATTCAGAAACAGCTCAGATGTCTCATTAATTGCGAAGCACGTATACCGGTGAATAGCGAAGCCTTGAATATGTAGGCCTTAACTGGCAGATACTGAGCGTACAGCGCTGGAATAACACCAACAGCTGATGCAACCCTGTTTCTCAAACACGAACAAAAGAAATAAAACCATGGTTTTGATTCAACACTCCGTGTCAATATCATTTTGTTAAATACTTTGTTTACCAATTGGAACAATTGACTTGCCATGTTTTCGAATAAAAATGCTTCCCCAATTTGCTGTCAGGATTGCACATTTCCGACCCAAATACACGATCATCCTCAGGTTTTGAGTTGCATCTCAAAAAAGGTACTAGTGCTCAATTTTAAGAAAGTCGAGGTAATAACGGCTAGTTCTTTCAGAGTCAAAAGGGCATAAAACGTCAGCTGCTGATGTCGCATTGAAGTGATGGCTCGAACTCGGTTTTCGTTTGCATAGTAGAAGGGAAATTGATTTATATGCATGCAATACCTAAGGATAAGGGTAGCATTGTGTTTATGACAAACGACATACAATAGTTTACGGGGTAATTATTTTTAGTTAACAACATTCCTCTTAGTAAATTATTAACCAGGGGAATACACTAAGTAACCAATCAGCGTGTACTGTTATTACACCGAGAATATGTATGCCGTGTGTTAGATAAACGAATATATTCAGCAATTACGAGACCTTGGCTTTGTGGAAATAGAGCAATACAGGACCAGTGCTATGCGTGAGTTACACTATCTCAACCGGTGCGTTGCAGTGTTTTTCCCCTGATCCTAAAGATGAAAAATTGAAAAGTGTTTGAACTTTGTGGATTCACTTGGAATAAACATAGGTCACTGAATACCCTTCAGTAACCAAAACTCCTTTTCATTGGTTCAGGAGTGAGAAACTGATTGATTTCACGTACCTTGTTCTATTTTTCTGACTTGAAAAGTGCAGAATTTACTGTACAAATTCCATTACTTCTGAAGTTCATCATGCATTCCAAAGATCAGGCAACTTTGTGCGCTTGCATTTGAAGCCTGGTTCCCATTTTTTCGATTGAATTAATTTACAGGAAATGAAATACATCGATAGATGCCCTGTTCACACTATCAATGTTCGTTTCATTGAAATACAAGTTGCGAATAACGCCATTTTGATATGAGTAGTATTAAGGTTTTCGGAGAAACAAAAGAAGGTTTCAAATATTGTTTGATGGGTTTACGTTACCAATTAAAAGTTGTTGGACGTGGAGCTTTGATCAGCTCCAGGTAATAGTTTTTAACTCCACGAGGTGCTTTTTTGCAAAGTGAATACCCTTTCCAGCGTTTTTACTGGCAGGTCACAAACGTGTGGCACGTTTCAAAATCCATCCGTTTACCTATATCAAATGGAATCGACGCAGTATACTTGCACGAATGCGGTACAAATACGAGAGCTAACCGCAAATCATTTGCAGTTAACAATGCTTTGAACAGTAGAGAGCATTTTATAAAACGCAGATTGATAGAGACAGACTTTCAGAGATGAAAACGTTTTGATTACACGTATGAAGCAGGAAGATAAACCAGAATTCTAAGTGAATATATGGTAGTATGGGAACTAGTTAACTCTGATGGAAAATTGTAGTTGACAGCTCTGAAAGTCACCCAGAAAGTGAGGGGTAAGCCCAACCTTCCAATTTTCTTAAAGGAAAGTACGTCGAGTTTACAAGTTCCACAGTGCAAATTATGGTTGTCTTTTCCGTACCATTTAAACATTCCATCAATAAGGTTGCACCTTTTATTAACAACCCAATTGTAAACCCATAGGAAATCCTGATATCACACAGGATTGAAGGAGAACTTATTTTTCAAATTGGCGCCATAAACATCAGCTAGTAGGAAATGCGAAAATTGGATAAGATTGATAGGAAATGTGTTGAATCCTTTTGCATTCCTAATCGCAGGTAGTAGAAAAAAAGTCGATGTTTTTAAGTAACAATAAGCGGAAAGGGGTGGGTGAAACGGGAGGGAGGGCTGGCGGGTGGCCGCTGCGGACTAAACAACCCCTTGCAAACCGGGAAAGAAAGAAATAAGCTTCGGTAGAATACATGCAATTGATACAGAAATAGCTTTCTCTTTTCCAAAATATACTCCGTGTTGTGTACTTTTGCCAAACACTTTGGTGTATCTATAGAAATTTAACTGGAATAGGGGAAACATTGACAAGATTTGCCTTGCTTGAGGTCTCAGTTAAGTATGTCCACTGATAGACGTCTTTGAAACTCAAGATTTGTCAAGGTGGTTGAGGTCAGGGTGTTCAAAATAAGGATGACAACCATTTGATATCAACAGAAGCTCATCAAACAATGAGTTTCTGCACACAACTCAATGGTAATTGAGTACGGTTAAGGACATGACAGTTACAAACAACGGAGCTCATGTATCCTTATTAATTCTTGTGATGCAAAGAAAACTACAGCACGAAGTTCATAATTATTGCCTAAGCAAATGTACATATTTTCTTCATTCATTTGCGTGATTCCTGATTTCTGACTACCTCCAGCTTTTGTTGTGTTCGGCTATCTTTATCATCGATTAACCCCGCGGTTAACCAAAATACTCAGCATGGCATTACTTGGTGGAGGTTTGTGAACAAAATGGAACAGTCTCAAATAGCGACCAAATCATCAAACTCCGAATAGTGCTTTACTACTAAGTTCAGAATATAGTGTAACTGTTAGGTTTTTACGGTAAAAGTTCCAGCCACATACTATAAAACTTCAGAACAATCACTTTTTGTACCACAATCTACTTCTCATGCTTAGTCCTTGTTTGCGCAAAATAAAACATGCGGTAACATAAAAATTTGGAGATCTACACAAAAGATAAGCAGGTATTATGGAAAATAGAAACCGGTTGGATTTCTATTTTGCTTCTTAAGCCGATTGGAACCAAACATTACTAGTGTTTGTTTTAACTCTGTTACATTCATTAGCTGTCGATCGTTGAATCACACACTCGCGAGTGAAGCGCATTGGGGGGAAATTGCCCGGATATGAGAGTCACGGCTGAAACAAAAGACCGGATGCTCGAGGCTGAGGTGGTTTTGAGAATTCATGCTCGGGCCTTCGGCTGTTCACGCGCGGCGATCCGAAAACCAAGCCGTATCATGCATGTGCCTGAAGGCGAGAGAGATTCGCAATTATTCCTCTTCTCCACTCTGTCGTTACATAGAAGTGAATAAACGATGGATAGAAAGTTCACCAGGAAGCTAGTGGTTGATCCAAATACCCGTCCATTTTTTGACCTGCCTAGAACTAACTCACTGCTTAGTGTGTAAAACTTGATCACCAAATGACTGACGTGTTCACTCATGCCAAATAGGACAATGTAAGAGCAACTCAACTTTGAAAGAGGTTGTCCCAAAAGTCGCTTCTCCTACATAACGGATACACATACTATCACGTCTGTCCTCGATTGGCTCATGTTGTTCTTCCGGTTGATTGTTGTTGCTGCACTTTTTCTCCTGTCGCCCACGGAAATTGTAGACCTGAAATCCCTCGTCCTTCGCAATGCAGGGGTTAAAATATGTTCCTTCCATAACTAATTCTGATTTTAGTCATGTTATGTGTATTGCGGACAATTTACTATTACCTGTATTTTTTCATTGATTCCGCTCAGGAAGTGGCAATAAGTTTTATAGTTTGGTGAGACTAAAGTAGCATTTGTAGAATGTGTGGAATTGGATGAAATTACAAAAATGAATTGAATTGACAAGTTTTTGTACAATCTCACTTGTGGTCCCCTAACTGACACAGGCTCAAACTTCGCGACTTATATTGGCGACGTCGGATAGTTGTCAGCTTTTGATATCATCAAGTTGAGTCCGGTGTGTTGATGGGGCTCATGTACCGTAAAGTGCAAGCTCAAGCTCTCAGATAATCAATGTGGCATAGCAACAAGGGCAAATAAATGTGGGCAAGAAATGCATAGTCAGTGTCAACAAAACTCTCTTGTATGAAAGGTATGCAATGTTCCTCCTTGATTAGAATGTAAAAATGTTTTGTGAGAAGATCAAACGGCTCCGGTAAAATTTGAAATCCTGCAAGAACCGCTTGTGTAATATCATCGGGCGCCTTGTGATTGGTTTTCCTGTCGACTATGAGCTTGATTTCAACATCGGTAACTCAGAATTGCAGTTAGCGAGTTATCGTTCAGTGATTTGTTTCTATTGTTTATGATCGGAGATTTTGATACACAACAAGTATCGCTTTCGTGGAAAGCGCCTGCAAGCGGAGGTTTCACAAAAGCTACTAAGAAACAGTGTGAAAGATGAGCTGCTGTTTGTGCAGCAAAGGGTGGACATTCAGAGGTGTGAACTGTTAGGACATTGTTTCAACTTATCTGTGGATGTCGTTTGAGCCTGATGATGATATTGCAATTGACATATTACTTCTCGAACACAAAAATATCTATAAAAAGAATGCGCTGCTTCCGGCAAGGCTGCTTAAGTACAGCTTTTGACAATTAAACTGAATACGCTGAAACGTGAGGATTACTTTAATTTTTCAGCAATCTAAAACAATCCAGTCCCTTGGAAATGAAAATGTCAGAGAAACTTTTGCCTTTATTTTTGGTAAAACATTCTCCATGTTCAGTACACAAAACTGATATGTGCAAAATTTAAATACGTTCATGCAAGATCTTTTCGGCAACAAAGTACACTGCAATCCTCGCTACCAACTCAAAAGTAAAATGAGTAATCGGTTTCAAACTTTTATTTTCCTCAGTTATTTACTCTCTTACTACCGTGGCCACTCACTGCAACACAAATTCCGAAGTCATGTAACTGCATTTCACATGGGGGTGCCAGCTCTTAATTGTTTTAAAACGCGACTTCA